ACAATACTCTGAACGAGCAAATAACAACGAAATGAATCCTGTTTTACGAAGTAACATAATTTCGCTCGATGCACGATGATTTCTTCGTTTTGTTTCGTTTTGTTTCGTTTCGTTTCGTTTCGTTTCGTTGCATTGCATTCAATCATTGACGTTTTACGAACGAATAACTGTCGAGAGATTGTACACGAAAGAGGGGAAAGAGAAAGGGTAGAGAAGGGGATGGAACAGGAGGAGGGAAACACAAACAAAGCGTAAAATTTCACCTCAATTTTTTCGAACTCCAATGAAAACTTTTATCTAAAAAGGTATTATCATCTGTTATTATCGTTTTAATAATTTGTTTTTACGGGGAAAAATTACCCTGCAAATGCTGTAGGTAAAGATTATCGAAATAGTAAGGTACGCACACGTAGATTATAGCATACACACACGCGCGCGCACACACACACACACGCACGCACGCTTTAAATTGGATCAGTGTAAAAAAAGAGGCATTGAAATTTACTCCGCGGCTCGTTGCATTTATTACAGTTTGAAATCGAGTGCATGTATAAGTAATATTCGTAGATATTTACCGTAATGCGATAAAAAGATCGTTTTAAGAATTTAAATAAATTATAATTAAACTCGATCGTTTTAAGAATTTGAATAAATTATAGAATAAAGTTTTTGCATTTGAAATACTCTGAATTAATGTCAATGCATTTATATATATATATATATATAGTAATGCGGCGTACAACAAAATCGAAATGTGTACCAGAAATATTCTCTTTCTCTTCACGAAGAACTGATTAAGTCGGATTTACAATTAAGTAAATTGTTATGTATGTTCAGAGATTAGAGTTATCTCAGATGTAAGTACAACGAGAGTGGCAGAATAGCAGAGAGAAATAAAATAAAGACGGGTAGAATACGGGAAAAGGTTTCTCGTAAGAACGCATAATTGCATAAATTACATTATGAAATTAATTTCGGTGGTAGGTTTGTCTGGCAGTTTGAAAAGGTCAAGTTCCTTTAAAACTAGCATTAATGGAACTGCTACGTCCGTTTACTCTTAGCCACGAACCACATCGTACGGTTCATTATGGGAACTAAGAATTGTCGACGAGAAAGAGATGGTACTTGAGAAGAACCGACCGAATGAGCGAGCTTGACTGTGCATGTGTGCGTGGATATATAGAAGAGGGGAGCAGAGAAAAAGCAAAGTGGCGTGGTGTCGATGCTGAGTGGGGAAGTTGTGACGAAGAGAGATATGTAATAGGAAAGAAAGAATAAGAGCAATGGAGCAATGGAGGGAAACAAAATGTGTTCTACATCAGCTACAGATGGGGTCTTAGAGAACATGCATTACGAAACTGTCAAGGATCAAAGTCAATACACATGCGGCTGCGACGTTAATTCTATCAGTTTATAAATCAAATTCGTTGGGCAAAATATGAATATCAATAACCGAAAACAAACGGAAAGAATCGTCAACTTATCCTAGAAGAATTCACAGTGAAAATAAAATGATTTCGTCGAAACATTTTTAGCAAATATGATTACGCTTTTCTGAAATTGGATTTTCTACCAAGTAATATCTATCGAAAAGACGTGTAAAAAAATATGTTAAAATTATGTATGAAAGAAACTGAGAAAAAGAAAAAGGAGAATTTTGTTTCAGTGTGTATATATACAATATATACAACATATACAATGCTGAAGATCAGGGTTGCTTTTGGCGAGGAAAAACAGGAGATGGTGAAGAGAAGGAATAAGATGAGAAGGAGGAGAAGATGAAGGAGGAATAAGGTCTTCTAGTTCCTTCGGGTTCCTTCGTGTTCCTTCGTACTTCTCCACGCTCCTTCGGCTTCTTTTCTTCTTTCCGGGTTTTGCCACGCTCACCGTGACACCACACGGCCTTCGGTAGAAGACGACGGAGGACGCCTGTGCAGAACCCTCGCCCTGCTTCTAACGGTTGGCCAGCGCCGGAAGCCGGCAACTAGGCGCCCCTTTCTCTATCTTCCGCTTTTTTTTCTCTCCTATTGGTTTCACTTCTTCCCTTCTTTTTCTTAACGCATATTCACATCTTTCTACGCAATTGCGTCCCTGATGCAATCTTCAAAAATCCATCTACATTTCTTAACAGAAATTCAGAATATTTCAAAGTACGTGGAATGTACTTTAGATCGAGAAGAAAGAAAAATTAAGGAAGATAAAATTACAATATAACAACGAATGAAATTACAATGTAATAAAATATAATACAAATTTGAACGAAAAATTTGTACAGCGCAACAGTCGTTGATGTAATTTTTAATTGGAAATTACGAGCCACTTTTAAATGTTAAAGATGTAATGATATAAAGATATGAAATGTAGCGTAAATTTGAGAATCATATGAAACTGATATAAAATGTATATATAAAATATGTTTCCTCCTTTTCTACCTGAAGCTTGAACCAAGGTAAAACTGTTCAATCAATCAGGAGTCAGTTGTATGACTATATGAAAGAAGTATTGGTTACTCTTTCGTAAGAGAAGAGACTGGCAACGAAAGCAATTGGTACGGTCCTGTCCGAAGTTTGCCGAACAGAGTCGAGGATGGCCGATCTTGGTGGAGGCCCGTAGCCATGTGTTGCGGTCTGCCGTGAGTGCTTTCTGACAAGGGAGGTGCGGTGTCTGCGTTTTTTCTTTACTCGTCGCAGCCCAGAAAATCGGGATTTTTCGAATAAACAGAGTAAGGTACGTGCAACCACGGCACCCTGGGGTAGTATCGATAAGATTCGAGAGTGTCCAAATGAAGGGAGAATCGGATATTTAGAAAAGAAAGTGTGTATATTTCTCGCGCGGCGTCGGCCGAACGAGACGACGAAGAAGGAGCTCTGCTTCGTCTCCCAATGTATACACGGGCCTACGTTCGGTATGTGTGTTTGTGAGTGTGCACGATCGAAACGGACAGCACCGATCCGGAGCAGTTGAAGACCGGTAGACGTTCACGTACGCAGCCACTGAGAAACACAGAGAGGCATCGAGTGGAAACGAAGAAAGAGAGAGTGCGCATGATAATCGTATCCTCGATAGCTGCCAGATAGAGACGCACAGGGTGCTGCGTGCAACTTCTCTCCTTTATACGTACACGTATATATGCATACACACATATGTACGTACATACATACATATATACATACGGATACACATACACATACACGTAGGCTAAGAGAGAGCGCGCGTACACACGCAATACACGTAGGCAAAACACGTACAAACACGCACGCGACGCATGCACGTACTATATTCTTTCGTTCTCGCTCTCACGGATGCTCTGTTCTCCTTCCTTTCCCTTTTTTCATCCTAGTGTCTCTATCTTTCTCGATAGCTCCAGCTCTGTGTCTCTCTCTCCCTTTGCGTTTGTAGTAGAATGAACACGCGAGCAAACAACAAACGAACGAATGCGCACGGGCATGTTCGCTCTGTGTTAGTATTAACGTCCCGTTCGTTGTGTTTTGTGTATTCTGCTTGTAGCAAATGTCGCCCGGACGTATCCTGACTATCCGCAAGTATGGCTGGTTGATCGGGCACGACAATGCCGCTGCCAGTTTTGTAATTTTGCTGTAGCTACACGATATCTTTTTGTCTGTCCAGAAGTGGAAGAAGAGAAGGAGGCAGCTATCGAATCTGCTATCAGGGCCTGCGAGTGTTGGTCGCGTAAAGGTGGACTCGTATATACGATGTACGCGTCCTCGGACTCCGGGAAAGTGCTACGTACGGCTCGTTCCTTCATCTTGTGTTTGTGTTTATCGAGTGTGACGAAAAGTAGTGCACGATCACGGAGCGTACGTATGTACCCGCTCGAAAGCTAAAAAGAATCTTGCCAGGAGAATACAGTGGCGGACGCGTTGTAACATCAGGGGGGGAAAAAAGGAGAAAGAAATACGGAGGAAAAGACACAAGGTGAAATGAGTGAGCGAGAGTGAAGGTGGACAAGGTACATACACACATCACATGCACACCACATACACAACACACACATACACACGCACGCACACACACACACACCGGTATAGTTAACGTTACTACCGAAAAAGAAGAGGAACGCCGCGTAGCGTCGCATGGATAATCGAGTCTGTACATGATGCAAAGTGCGTGCAGCAGAGAGTGCCTCTGTGTCTGTGCGTGCACACGCGAGCGTAAGCGCGACCGCCTGTGTATTTAAACTGTGTATCGAGATCTGGTTGAGTGATCCGTCGTTCCTAGTGTGTTCGTTTATGCGTGATTATGTAGGTGCGTGGGAACGAGGTCGCGAGGTGAATTTACTACGCGCCACGGGACACTCGACGATAAATTCATCTTCCTTCGAGTCTGGGATTACCATTTGGGATGCAGCACTTTTGATGAATTGATTATGATCGATAACACAAGACGACACCGATGAGACAAAAGAAAAGAAAGAGTGGATTTTCAAAAAGATCAGCGCAAGCTTGTCCAGCCTTCGATACAAGCGCACGATGGTAAGGAGAGCTTGTATTTCCATCGATTTACTCAACGTCATATTTCTTATTCGTACCTCATGTACACACTTTTATCTGGCACGTATGTATTCACCATTTGCTGGTGCGTGATGTGTCGCATCGTGTCGTTTCGCTTCGTCTTGTCCCGGGTCGTCCTACGTCTTCTCGTCTCGTCTCGTCTCGTCTCATCCCGTCCCGTCCCATCTGGTTTCGTCTCGTCTCGTCCCGTTTCGTCTCGTCTCGTCTCGTCTCGTCTCGTTCCGTCTCGTCTCGTTCCGTCTCGTCTCGTCTCGTCTCGTCTCGTCTCGTCTCGTCCCGTCTCGTCTCGTTTCGTCTCGTCTTGTTCCGTCTCGTCTCGTCTCGTGTTAAATCGTATGGTGGCGTGGCATGACGCGTATGCGTACTCGCGTACTTTCGAGTGTGTGCGTTTTGCGTGGAGTTGTTGCAACCCAAAGCAAAGCCGGTACACGATGTGTATATGTGTATGCATGTGCGTGTCGTGTACGCATAAGTTCTACTTCCAATTGTAGCGATTTGATTTGTCTTCTTTGCGACGAGCGTCATCATATAGATTATGATATGACCTGTGCATTATTTATCTATGCACCATGCATCCACAACGTGGATTACACTTCTAATCGTTTTTAGCTTCTTAGTACGATTAAGTAGAAAGTAATGTTTCGTTCAATGTATTGCAAAACACGCGGTATCATGCAACGATGATGTGGTTCACGATCGATTACGATTATAATGGACGTGGCCTCGTCTTTCCACCTTTTATCTTACGTTTTTTTAATTCGAGAGTTCAGTAGGTCGTCTTTTCAAATGGATCGGTTGACATTTCACATTTTACTCCCATTTTACCAAACCATTATTTTTTATTTAAGTACAATTAAGTTAATTAATAAACGATCCTACATACCATCAGACCTTGTCGCGCATATCGCTGCAGTTGCAATCAAATTAGAAAATAGAAATTAGTCACTAGATGCGTGTCTAAGGTACAGAAGGTTGTTTTTTTTCACGTAGTCAATTTTTCATGTAGAAATAAAATAATTCTGTTATATCTTTTTAAAGTAACTTTGTAAATAAACGCAGTTTAGATTTCGATTATTTCATTTTGGCTGAGTACACGCAGGCTAAAAGATAAACAATGACCTTGTTCTGCTTTACGTAATAATACGACGAATCTGACATATATCTGTCTCTGTTGCGATATCAAAAACCTGGAGCGACATTCGTTCCACAAAATGCGAGACGAGTTCATTCGAAACGATAGTTTTGTTAAGATTGATCGTTGAACGATCGATCGATGCGATAACATATGGACATGGCGATGTTTTTCATGCAAACAGCGATCACTATTCGTGCGAGAACTATCTATCCTTCAAGTCACACTGTTTCACCGTTTTATTTCTCAAAACCGTTTGGATCAATGATCGTTGAATTTTCTGCGGTGCCATCACGTTCTATCTTCTATAGCAATGCAAAGTAATTTATTTACTCGATTATTTTTAATATACAAATTGCCGTAATAATTACGGTGAAGTTTTCGAGTAACACGTATAATTCCAATTCGTTAAGTTGGTCATCATGTAATAAAGAGGAGAGAGAGAGAAAGAGAGAGAGAGAATACGCAGAATAAGAAAAAAATATTCAGATACTTGCAAAAAGTAATTAGCGATTATCGTCAATAAACATCAATGGTACTAATCTCAAAGTGTCGGTACCGAAGCGGATTAAATTGTCATTGTGAGATAAAAAAATCGATACTCGTGATTAATTCATGTCAGCATACTTCGTCAAAGTTGAATTACACGCATCCACGTTCCATTCATTCCCTTTTATTCAATACGTTCAACTACTTGACACAATGTTTATCCTGGTGTTCTTCCTGGTTACAATCTTAATTAATTAATTCTTTCTTGTAATTAACGCGATTGCTTGATAGTATTTTACATTTAAAAATATAAATTTATTTTTTTTACAATATGCATACTCTCATCATGCTTTAAGTTTTTTTCTGTTTTTCTTTTTTTTTTTTCATTTAACTATAACTATCATGACATTTGATATTTTCGCCATTTTGATCTAGATACCTGATTTTCGTAGATAACGATAAGGATACACTCCCTCTTTCGACATAATGATATATACATCGTCGCGTACAAACAATCGAGAAACAATGACAAGTATAAAGTTTGTTTTAATTAGCGAGAAGTATGTGTGTACATTGGTGCAATCTTTGGTATTGATTAAACGGTTGACCTTAGACAATGGGTCATCAAACGACCGTCGTGTTCTCAACGATAACCTCCATTCGAGAGAAAATCGTTTCCTTTCAATATCCGTATGTTATTGCTAATTAAAGCTAATAAAAAGCAAAGCAGGAATCGAACGCTGAAAGCGGCCGTAAGCGAATTTTTGATCGAGGCTGTACTGGATGAACTACGGAAGGGTATCTGGTATAGAACTAATTGTCCCCGCGTAAAAAACGTTTGATCGTTTGAACGGCACGTTAGATTAGGAAATTTGTCATATGGGACACGGTACACGCATTTCCCCGTCCTTCCTTTTTATTAATGCGTTTTTCGTAAACCAGGGGAAAACGCAGTCGCACGATGGAACGCGTGGGTAAAGCGAATCACGGGCAATACTTTCCCAGGGTAGAATGTCGGGTCTACGGGCAAGCACAAAATGGCTGCCAGCAGGAACGATCGACCGTGCGTGCGTGCGAGCAAGCGAGTTAGGAGATGTTGTTTCTTCTCCTTTGCCCCCCTTTCCCATCCTCCGTTTCTTCCTTCCTTTATATGTGCATACATACACAAAACGCGCGCGTGCGCGCGTGCACGTACACGTACACACACACGGAGCTTGCATCGCTTCTCGTTTATGCTCATTTACTACTACCGATACGTATACATACCGTGCTTTTCCTCTCTCCAACATATATAATATGTTTTTTCATTCACAATATACAACATCATCCCCTATCTGTGTGTCTCTCTCTCGTTTACCTTTGCTCTTTAATTTCTTTTTCTAGCGAGTCTTTAACCTCTTGCGATGGAATAACGTGCCACGCACGTCGAGAATCCCCCCCCCCCCCAAAAAAAAAATTCCAATATTTTCCCAGTTTTAAATATGTACTGAATATAACCCAGGCGAAACAAGTAATAAATTTATTACTTCTTAGTATAATAATTTCTATCCGGTGATGTCATACCGACCGGTTCAAAAAGAAAGCGACGAATCATTGTATATACGGTTGGTCACTCGTTATGGTCCGTGAACTAGTTGCCAGCGCAAGAGGTTAAGTTCCTAGACAGACTATCCTTTCTTCTACGTATGAATAGCACGAATAGCGTACTACAGCTATGGTAGCGTATAGAAACGTGGTTTTTCTTGTTTGTCCGTGGTTTCACAGTCAAAGCCATTGGAACGGTATCGCGTCGAATTCATTGTGCTTGATTCTTATGCGCAATGATTACTCCATTAGGCTGTCGCCGCGTCCGTCGAACCGATAAGAATTCGTCGTCGTCGGCTGTTTTCGATATTGTCACGAAACAATATATACGGTATGTCAAAAGACAAAGATTCGAGTCTCTTGGTTTTTCTCTACGGGGCAAAAGTTCACGATTAATTGCAAGGCGATGGGATAGAGTAAAATGGACAAAAAGGGAAAGAAACTTCGAGAAAAGATGAATTGAAAAGGTGGGAATAAAGAACAGCGCGCGCGCGCGTATGTGTGCGTGTGTGTGTGTGAAACGGAAGTTGAGTTACATAGCATGGCACGTGCATATCGGTGGCAATAAAACTCGTGTGGACATGTAGCAATGCCAACACACAGCTGCTTGTTGTGGCTGCCTGTGAACGTTTCACGATGACCGCATATATACTAATTGCGAAGCGTAACCAGCCAAGTTACAGTATTCATGATACCTACGTATCTATTTATATATAACTACAGCGTCTACTATTTCTTATCGCGTTTTGTTCTTTGAAACGTTTTAACGTCTACGTGTGCCTGTTAATAAGTCGAGTCGCTCGGTTTTTGCATAATTCGTTCGGTCAATTCATTGGAAAGAAAAAAAAAAAAAAAAAAAAAAAAAAAAACAAAGAAGGTTAACGATTGGATACAACAATCAGATCGCAAACGAGTTGTTTAAAAAATTATCTTGAAAATAAACGTTTCGCCTTATCGCGTGTAACGCGAAGAAAATAGTTAAAAACTTCAACGTTATCAGAGAGGCATCGAGTCGTATAATACTCGTATAATATTGGTATGTTCAGGAACAGAGATTCGTTGTTTCGTCTCATGCGAGCAGAAACGCTGATTAATCAACGGTGAAACAAGACCAACGTGTTGTCAACTAATCTCTTGAACGTACAGCGAAAGTTCTGTAATCGTTAAATTAAACAGCTTATTTTTCTTTTCTTTTGTTCATAAGAATTCGCGTTTAGTTTCGGCGTGTGTGAACGATTCCTTTTACCTCGTATCCCAAGGGATTATCAAGGATTATCGTTGCGAGCATCGATTAGCTCGTATCTCTTCTGCAAATATTAATTTTATGGATTTTAACTATTGCAACGACGTTTCGTTATCGGGTCGTTTACGTGTGACATACAAATATTGTATGAAACGATTTTATACACTGTTGTAGAGACGAGAGGAAGTAATTGCTTCACGACGAAACGATCAAGGACAGTGGGGAATAATGCTAGTGCTT